TTCTTTGCAAATATATACTATCTCATGGTACAATTAGAACATTCCAATTGTGCCAACTGCCTTAAAAAGGTCCTTTATAGCATTTTAGTCCCCTAATCAGGATCTAGTAGCACATGTAGTTGTCACAGCTGTTAAATCTCCTTTATATTGGAACAATTTCTCAGCCTTTGGCTTTCACAGAAGTGATAGTTTTGAACAATATAGGCCTTTTTTTTTTTTTTTTTTTTGTAATAGAAAGTTCTACAATTGGAGTTTGTCGAAGATTCCTCATGATTAGTTTCAGGCTTTCCATCCCTGACTGGAATTCAACATAAGTGATGTTATGTTCTTCTCAGGGCATCACATCAGCAAGCACAGGACATCCATCTACCCCTTGCCAATGACACAATTTTGATCTCCTGGTCATGACATCTGGATACTCCCCTGTGTGGATACCTTCCCCTTACAACTAATAAGCCATCAGCGGAGAGACACTTTGAGACCACGCAAATAGCTTGCCCCTCAAACTTTCTCCTCCAGATGTCAGCATCCATGGATTCTTGCCTTAACTAATCTTTACCATCATGGTTGCAACCTCCTCTGTATTTGTTAGTCAGTGTTCTCCAGTACAGCGAAGTCCGGTCTTCTCCCAATAGATGTTTCTGTCAGTACAGATTCCTATCCCTATTATATAGGAATTCCTATTTTATTTCACAGTTCTAATCCACAACTGTCCTCAATTTTGAGGCTCCGGTCTCAGATTACGGTCATTCTTCATAGCCACAGAGGGTACAACTAGCACTTACAGGGAGATACCACCAAGGAGGGTGGATTTTGACCTAGTCAAAGAAAAGGTTCAGAAGGATTCCAAATCGCCATCAACAGAACTAGCTGATTGGGGAAGTAGTAAGCTGCCCATCACAGGAAGTATTTAACTGTCTGTTGACTGCTCTTTCTAGAAAAAAAACCATGTATCAGGTTGGGGCTTTTAGAGATCCCTTCCAAACCTTTGAGTTGAGACCTGCGACAGAATCCTGGGAAGGAAGAGAGCATGACATCTAGTTTAGAGGCATATTCAGAAGAATACTAACTGCTGACAAGGGAAAACATCCAGCCACCCGTTGGACACAATCCAGCCAGGCTTGTAGAAGCAGGAGCTGTAATGAGTGAACATCTAATCCCTAGTCCTCTTGATTTTTCTTGACCATCATTGCACGCCGGCCGCCAGGTTAAATGCCAGGAGCCAAAAAAGACCACTCAGACCCAGGCCCAACACAGAAACCAATGGAATGACAGAGGAGAGTCCCTCCAGCTCTGCCTGGGGGAGCTAGGGAAGATAGGGACTTTTCCAGAATGAGTGGGGGCTCATCAGCCAAAACAACTCTAACACCAAAATTCTGTCCAGCACACAACGGACTCCAATTCTGGGAAAATCTTAGACCAACGGAGATACACATGCACATATGTGTATGTTACATACATACACACATACATATGTACCTTTTTACATTTTATTTCAAAGGACACGTGTGGGAGAAGGCATGGACTTCAAAGTAAAGAGTACAATTGGTCAATAATTCAGGATCCTGGTCAGAAAATGCTACTCCCCTCCTGCACCGAGAGGTATTCACAAGACCCTCAAAGATTAAATGCTCTGAACTGGCTGATAAACAATCTGGAGTAGTCACGTAGAACTCCTACGTGTACCTACCTTTTCAGCTCCTCACTTTCTGGGTCTCTGTCCTCTACACACAGAGCACAGGGTGTAAGCCCAGTAAAGTCCAGGGCAGAGACAGAGGTGCTAATGCCCGCCTTGCTCATAGAGTCCCCGGCAGAACCAAGCCTCGCTTGGAGGGGCGAGGGAAAGCAACCTGGGGGCTTCACATGCAGCCGGCCGCTGGGACTAACGAGAGGCCCTGAAACTGGTCCAGTGGCTTAGGCCTAGAAAGGTCACTGTCTAGGCAAATTCATATCATCTCAATACATTCAGGGAAGCCTCCCCGTGAGCAAGGATAAAAACTGTGCTGGCAGACATTTCCGTAGCACCATACTTCGTCAATTCTGGACACCCGTGCTACCTACCGTTCACCTCTTCTGAGCCCTGACAGACCTAACGCATCTATCATGCACACTCTAACACGGATACCAAAGCCTTGTCATCCTCGTACGCCTACCTTTCTAGAGGGCGGTTACCAGGAACACTGGTTTCCAAACAAGTTTCATGTTCGATACCTACCTTGCACTTCCTAAGACTGCTACTACAAAAATCAGGCCATGCCTATTTTAAAGACAGAGAAACAGAGGCAGCGGAGGAAAAGGGCTCTGAGGGCCCATGGTTGGAAGCAAGGAAGCTGGGATGAGAGTGAGGCCTCTTGCTTTCACCCTTTCCCCTTTATCTCTTGCTCCCTGGGCTGGAAGCAGAGAAGGTCCTGGCAGAAATCCTGCACAGCCCCCAGATTCAGCCACAGTCGTGCTGCTAACGTATCGAATGGGACACGGTTGATGTGGAGATCAAAACTCCACTCAAGTGCAAGTCCTCTCTTCTCTGAGGACCTCACCAAGAAGATGCTGCTCTTTCTTCCAAGGTTACAGGCCTTGCACACTTGTCTCTTTATTCCTAGCTTGGAGCACAACGCTGGCACACAGTCAGGACTCCAGAAATAGCTACTAACGCGAAGTGAAGGGAGGTAGATTCTTGTACGGGGTTCCGTGTCTCTAGATTGAGAGGGGAGATATATGATATAGCAGAACAAGGAACAGAAGCTTTAGAAGCAAAATAACCCAGGTTAGAATCCCCTTGCAGACTACTGAGCTGAGACTCAGTGAGCCTCAGTTTTTGCAACTGTAAAATGGGGTGAATCTCGCCTACTTTGTAGGGATGTTGAGGAAACGTAAAGAAATGTCAAAGACTAGCACGAGTGATGAAGAGTGCGAGGAAGAAAAAATAGGTTCCAGTCCAAGATGGCCACAGAGGAAGAGGGAAGGGGAGGGGGTGGAAAAGGCAAAATGGGTGAAAGGGAGTGGGAGATACAGGCCTCCAGTTACAGAATGAATGAGTCATGGGGATAAAAGGCACAGCATAGGGAATATAGTCAATAATAATACAATTGCATTGTATGGGGACAGATCGTAGCTACACCTGCGGTGAGTACAACAATGGAGTTGAGTCACTATGTTGTACACCTGAAACGCAAGTGACATTCAGGGTCAACAATTCTCAGAAAAGTTTGTGGGGGAAAAAGCGTGGGAGGAGAAAGAGATGAAAAGGAATAAGTGTAGTGGACAGACTTCTAGAAGACCCCCAACTCTCCTCCCACTCAGCTTCGAGCCCTTGTACCGTCCCCTCGCATCGAGTAGGACAGGACCTGCGATTTGCTTTTAACCAACAAAATATGGCAAAGGACATGGGATGTCACTCCCACAGTCATGTTACATCGTAGATGACAAATTGCTAGCCAACTTGCTCTAGAAACTTTCCCCCTTTCTGGCGTTGAAAAAAATGAAAGCAACCACACTGGCAGCAGGAGGGGGTGGGCACCTGGGTGGCTCAGTTGGTTAAGCATCCGACTTCAGCTCGGATCACGATCTTATGGTTTTTGAGTGCAAGCCTCACATCGGGCTCTCTGCTGTCAGCTCAGAGACCACTTCGGATCCTCTGCCTCCCTGTCTCTCTGCTCCTCCCCTGCTCACTCACACGTGTGTGCGGTCTCAAAAATATATACAGACATTAAATTAAAAAACAACCACACTAAGAGATGCACATGGCAAGGAGCCGAGAGGGATTTCTGAGAGCAAAGACTTCTAGCCAACAGTAAGAAATCAAGACTTACCTCCTATAACTGCAAGGAAGTGAATCCTACCAACACGGAGTGAACCTGGTCCCCTCCCCAGTCGAACCTCCGTGTGAGGACCCAGCCCAGGCCTACATCTTGACTACAGCCTTGCAGAGGCACCGGCCAAGCCATGCTTGCATTCCGACCCCCAGAAACCACGAGACGATACGTACGTGCAAAGTGTGTGGCCCTGTGTTACATGGCAAGAGGCAGCTAACACAAGGGGGGGGGGGGGGGAAGACAGAGAAGGGGAACCAGGCTCAAGCTCATCTTAAGAAACCCATCTTAGGACATCAGGGACCCTTGTATCTGAGTGGCAGCAGTTCTCCAAAAGTCATCAGCCAAGGCCAGCTTGCCTATGTTTCTAGGTACAATCTCCACAGACGTGAGCAGGGCTACAACTATTAAAGGCCACTTTTCTCACACTGGAACAATAAGCAACTCTTCCAACACAACACATGCCCAAGGGGCTGGGGTTTCTGTCCTTATGCCTTTTCCCTGGGCATGAGGCAGCCACAGAAGCTGCCAGCGACAACAATCAGCCTAATGTCATCTAATTGACCTCCTGCCTCCTGAGTCTGAGCTCTCAAGCAGGGATGCAGGGGGCACTTCCCTTAAGTCTTTAAGGCTGGAGGCAGAGCTGCGCCCAGCCTGTGCCTGCCTTCCCAGGGAGAGCCCTTTCTCCCAAGCATGCGGCCCCAGCTCCCTTCCCCCAGCATTAAAACCAAAACCAACCTTCTGCAAAATTCAATCCTTTGATTTCTCAGTCCCAATTAAAGTTGGCAGGACTAAACCAGTCGAGTAGTGCATTTTTTTGTTTTTGGTATTTACCAAATATTTGGAAATATTTATTTCCAAAATAACCCGTTAAAAAAAAAAATACCATCAGAGGGGGGAATGGAAAGCCAGACAGATCAGGGGCAAGAAAGGGACAGAGAGCCCTCCCCAAACCATCAGCACTTCCCTCCAGCCCTTCTCCGAGCATCAAGGGGGTCCTCTTATCGGAAAAAGCAAGCTGGCACCCACGACCCCCAAGCACAAAACAGAATCGAATAAATGGTCAACCCACGTGGCAGAAACACTGTATTCTCCTGAGATTTCAGTGTGCCATGCCCCTTGCCCAGCTCAACAACCCCTTCTAGGTCTCCACCGTAACTCCTCAATCCCCGACGTAAAACCCACTCTTACCCACAACCTGGATAATCTGAGCCAGGAGGACGCCGTCTGTCACATCTTGCTGGAGGTCCTTGATGAGACGTTTGTGGCCCGACTTGGCTAAATAATGATTGGCCCAGTCCGTGTAGATCTGCAAAAACAAAACCAAAGAGGCAACTTTAGGAACCCGCTCAGATCTATCCCGTGTCAGAGGCAGCTGCTGGGGCCTGCGCAGCAGCCAGGGTCCCACCAGCTCGCTACCCTGGGCCAGCCGGTGCCATTAACATGCAGAGCCTCGTGCTGAGGGCCATTCAGCTACCCATAGCCGGGCTTTCGCCTATTGAGAGCTCTGCCATCAAGAGGCAGGGAAAAGCTAAAGAAAGCTTCAAAGCATGCAAAGGCCTGAATGGGATGGGGACACAGAACTCAACAGTCTGCTCCAGACGGCTTTGAGAGGCAGTGCCTCTAAAGGCAAGAGAAGCCTCCCCCGCCCCACCGCCATCACCCCCCTTCCCCCCGCCCCTGCCCATCTTTTTCTCTTTATTGAGAAAACGTATGGGGAGGTTACCACCCAACAGGCATCTTTTAATGGGCCATTTCAGGGTAAGGAGCGCTATTGAGTTAGCGGAGCTCTCAGGAGCCTGGGTCCCTTGTAAAGAAGCCAAGTATACAAACACAGAGCCCCTCAATTACTCGTGTGTGAGTGGCGTTATTTACGGCCTCACGATCGCCTCGAATGTAATCGGTTTCATTTAAAAGCCCAGCATCATTTTCACTGTTGGGATTCTGTGACTAATAAGAATTTTAAAAACCCAGCAAATTCTGACATATTTAAACACAGCACTGGTGCACACAGCATCCTGAAAGGCAGAGGCTAGGTCACCCATGGGATCAGGAAAGCAGACCCCCTTTGGGGACATACAGACCTGCTCCTGTCACAGAACTGTCACTACAAGAGAATCTTTTCTTGCAGAACAGCACAAGAAAACTCACCTGAGATCCTTCTCCCTAACTGGAAAAAAAAAAAAAAAAAAAAAAAAGGGCCAAAAAACAAAATTAGACACCTCGTCAATTTTGAGTGCTAGGTTCCACAGATTTGTGAGTCTACGGAGGGACATGCAGGCCCTATAGATCGGCACCCTTTCTTCTCCCCTACAGGGATACGAACAAATGACTGCTCAAAAGAGAATACCGTACCCCTGCTGGTCCATCTATTAGTAACAAGTTCACATACTAACTCCCATGACGTCTCCACCCAAATAGAGGTGATCACTGTATCTCCAGCAGGCCTGCTCGGGGATCTTGTGTGTGACTTCTAGAGCAGGGGGAGCCTTCCCCTCACCCTGGCTCTCCTCCATTCTATTCTTCCAATGGGCCCAGAGCAATCTCAAGCAATGGGGCACTGCCCCTTGAGGCTCGTAAAATGGGACAACAGGCCAGGGCCTGGAATCACAGAGTGGACCCGTTAGGGAGCCTCATTCTAAAACGGGCAAGGCAGAGAAGCACTTCCTACTTCATCAAGAACAGGGGACAGACACCCCCTGGCTATTCCCACCCCCAACCTCAGAGCTGGGTCTTCCACTGCAGAGACCCACGAGCTGAAGAGATACGCCGCAGGATGATTCTGTGTCACACCTCGGTCCAAGGCATCTAATCCTTAAATCCATGTTACTTTCCTGCCCTAGGATTCTCAAGTTGTCAGAGATCAAAAGCCTAATAAAGCAAGATCATTTTCGATTCTGTGATCACCGAGAAAGCGAAGGACATGGGGAGCCATCTTGGTCATTTTACGGCCAGTCCTAAATGCCAAGGATTATTAGATTGTTAAGAGGGAGAGAAAAAACATGAGAAGGGAAAGAGGCAGCCCCGGGTTCAAGTCCCAGTTCTGGAGGTTCCATGGCGTAGGGATTTGGATCCCTTTTGTCCAGTGATGTGTCCAAGGTGGTTACAGCATTAAGCACATAGTTCTCAATATGTGTCTGTGAAGAATGGATGAAGGACCTCAGGCAAGCTCTTTAAACTCACTGAAGCTAGTTTTTCTTAGCCATGAAATGGGATCAACACCATCTACTTGTCAGTTATTATGAGGACTGAGTGATAAAACATTTTTTTTTTTTTAAAAAAAGGGATTTATGCACAGTAGGAGCTTAATAAATGACCTATAGTGCCTACTATATACCAGGCACCAGTATAAACACTTTGCACATATTAATTCATTTAATACTTATTCTAGGAGGTGGATACCATTGTTAGGTCTATTTTTTTTTTTTTTTCCAGAGAAATGTGAAACGTAGAGAGGTAAACTAACTTGTCCGAGGTAACAAGTGGCAGAGCCAGGATTTGAACCCAGGCTGACTGGCTCTGTAATCCCTTAGACATTCAACAATGCTCCTTCTCTGAATACAAATACAAATGTTATTCCTAGCTTTTACCTCCTCCATGACACCCTCCTACGGACTCTAGGCTCATTCCCCTATTCAGTTATGTTCCGGCTGAAAGAATTGAACAATAAATAAACAAAAACCCAAAGCCTAGTTCTATCCCTTGCTGTCTGAATGCCCCGGGGCAAGTTACTCAACTTGTCTGAGCTTCAGTTTACTCAGCTGGAAGATGGGCATAAGAAAGACTACTTCAGAAAGCAGTTAGGAAGACTTTTACATCTAAAGGGCATAGCATCTGCCACATGCGAAGTGTTCAGTAAATAAAGTATTTAGAAATGTGGCTACCAGCATTATGAAATGGGCCAGAACAAAATCAGCCCAGCCTCTCCCCTGAACCTCCAGGACACAGACGATTCAGGGACGACTCCTCCATCTCCCTCACAAGGTAGAATTTCAGGAGTGAACCATCCACCATCTGGAATCACAAACTATGACGGACTGAAAGAAAAGGAGGTCAGAGATTGACCAGGCTGGTTCCTAGAGCCAAGCTCCCTTCCCCAGCTAGGAGATGCACCCAAGCACTACAGGGATCCCACAAGCTACGTCTGAAGGACTGTGGAAACATTCCAAAGCTTAAAGCCATCCACCCCCAAGGTCATCAGCTGAGGGGAGAAGGGGTCATGGACAAGGATACTGCTGAGTGGGAGGTGATGCTGGTACCTCTTGCTCATTCTCTTCCTGGAAGTTAAAGGTATTTTAAAATAGATCTACTCTCGGGCGCCTGGGTGGCGCAGTCGGTTAAGCGTCCGACTTCAGCCAGGTCACGATCTCGCGGTCCGTGAGTTCGAGCCCCGTGTCAGGCTCTGGGCGGATGGCTCGGAGCCTGGAGCCTGTTTCCGATTCTGTCTTCCTCTCTCTCTGCCCCTCCCCTGTTCATGCTCTGTCTCATGCTCGGTCTCTCTCTGTCCCAAAAATAAATAAACGTTGAAAAAAAAAAAAAAATAGATCTACTCTCCAAAACAAGACTGCGTGTCCACACAATCCAGCAGTTAAGCAAACTTCTTTCAACAAGTATATGTGTGTACACACACACACACACACACACACACACACACACACTCACTCACCTTGGAGCCATGGTGGGGCCATGTGGGTATCTGGTATACCAAGGAGAACTTCTACAGTGGTCAGAAATGGCTCTGCCGAAGAAGTGAGCTTCTCTACCCAAAAACTATGTAAAAGAAGAGCCTTTCTTTCACCTTAGCCTACCACACACCACTGCAACTTTGTCTTCCCAGAGCACAGCTCTAGGAAGTTGTGCTCCTGCTCAAAAAAAAAAAACAACTCATCAACAGCTCCCCACTTCCCACTGAATTCAAGTCTGGCTTTTCACACTGCTATTCAAGGCAGTCTGATCCACCCACTCTATCCCAGACCGCGCTCAACCCTTGCGGGGGAGGCGGTGTATGTGGAAGTTAAGAGGATAGGCTTTGGAAATGACCAAGTACAGCTGGCCCTCAGCCCCAGGCAAATGAATTTCCATTAACCTTTCTGTATCTCAGTTTTACCCTCCATAAAATGGGGATTATACCTAAGGTATTGTAAAACAGCTGGCAAACTGTGACCCAGGCCAAACCCAGCTGACCATCTGTTTTTTTGTAAACAAAGCTCTATTTGGAACACAGCCACACTCACTTGTCATCTTTGGATGCTTTCATGCCACAGTGGCACAGTTGAGCAGCTGTGACAGAGAACTTTTGGCCCGTAAAGCTTTAAATATTTACCATCCAGCTCTTTACAGAAAAGATTTGCCAGTGTTACAGGGACCGAATGAGAGACCACGCCCACCATACCAAGTGCTCAGTGGTCATGATTACCATCACCTTCAGGAAAACTTGACCCCACAATTCCCCATCTCTGAATTCACGCCATCCTATCTGCCTGAGTACCTCCACCAGTGTCACCTGGCAAGGCTCAATTTCTAGGTCAGTCCCTCCAGGAGGTCACTCTGGATTTCCCGACTGCATCCTGAGCTACACACGATGCAGAGACTGTAGATAACATGTACGTCGGTGCCATCTTCCCACCTTCACCACCAGATGTGGGCAGAGACCATGCATGTCCCACCCATCTTTGCTGCTCAGCAGTGCCTCCCTAGGTGCGGGCCCACAGCAGGGGGCCGTATGTGGTTGCCAAGTTGAGCTGAACACAGAGAAAGAGGGCAAATCTCCGGGAAACCAATTACATTGGAGATAAATAATGTAAGTCCTCAGCAAATCCTCAAACCAGGATTTCATAGCTCGTTATTGATTCAAACAGGAAGGGACAGAGAAAATAAATCATTCTGTGGCTCAAGCTCATTAATCAGGACCCATCCAATAAGAGTCATTAATTATCCGGAGTTTCCCCTCCCCTCCTTTCTCCCCAGCTCTCAACGTTTTAAAGAAGTCACAAGCAAACACCTAGATTCATTGTAAGAACCCATTTTTAGGGGCCAGGCTAAGCAGAGACATTATTCAGCCCCATCTCCCTCACTTGCTCTTTCAGTAGCATGTGCATGGAGTACCATTCTTTCAAGGGGCACCCTTGGAAAATGAACTCACAACATCCCTAGTCATAGGACTCCATCAGCTTTGGCAACTCACAGGAATTGCAGCGATGCGTGTTTCAAAGATTTTAAGCCAGGGCTAGAGCACGCAGGGCTTCCTGTCCAAGCCTCAGCGTCCCAGAATCAGCTGTTCCAGAGCAACTCGGATGGAGAGCTCCACGG